GATCTTTGAGTTTGTTGTTTTAGTTTCTAGCCTGAAAGTTTACCATCCGCTAAGTTTTGGAAACATAAAAGCGAGCTCGAGAAGATAATTTGTAAATGTCAGTTAGCCATACAGTATACAAAACTCCAAATCTATGCTTCTGTTGCTCTTTCTCTGCCGGATATTTAAAAATGTTCACCCTTTGCCACGCCTTTAGCGATAACAACTTTAAAGGGCCATAATACATCATGATCTGTGTATGAAAATCAGATACTGCATAGTATGTGGGTGTAGTTCATGCAAAAAATGCTGGACATGCTTGCTAAGCTAGCGCACATCCCACAGATAAGACCCAAAATGCATTGGGGCTCCAACCTTTGACTGCAAGAAGAATGGTTAAAATGGCGGTTTAAGTAAGGTAAATGTAGAAATAGAAGTGTACTTGAACTATTTGGGGTAGCTTTTTAGGTCATTTAATTAACAATTTGATTTACCTGTAACATTTTGATTGATACAGTCAGCTGATGCAGATATGCGTTGCTTGAGTGTTCTTCAGCATGAACTTCTGGTGAAACGTCCTTGCAGAGACAAGGTCATGTTTTTTTATTTTGTTCTTCTGCCCCGATGTATATCCGTACCCACACGTCACAGGTGCTATTTCTTGTCAGTTAGCCTTAATGATGTGGAAGGCAGCAGCATCGTGAGTGATATTTCTTTTTTAGGACATTGGTCATTTAATTTACATTTGAGTCTCTGTCAGTCTCCCTGACATGACATGTCACTGCGCTTCACAATCTGTCAGGCAGGGTGAAGCCTGCTGAGCTTCGTGTTAGGACTAATGGTTAAGTTTACTTTGCAATGACGATCTATATTTACAGTCTGTTTGTTCCATTTTACATCATGACATACACCAGGTCAGAGAGGAAAAAGTACCAAAAGCAACACAGGTCAATGTTGCATTCAGGCGTTAATTAATTGCTTTTAGCACCAACATAATGAAACGCAGTGCATAGTAAACTACAGTTTTGAAAAAATGGTTTCCATCTTTCCCCCGACCGTCCATCAGCATGTCCCGCACACAAACAGAAACACTGGCATCGACAATAAAGACCAGGCAGTGATGGGTTTTACATCACTGCCAACACGAAATATGACTAATCACGATTATACGCGAGTAGTCTATTCCGGGCCGGGCGCGCCTATCAGCGAATAATCAGGGGAAAGAGGAGCGAGCGAGAGAAACTCCTGTCACCAGATATTCGGGTGGAACCTAGTATTTGCATAACTGTGTGTCAGATAAGGCGGGAACCATTATAGCGTGGCACAGCCATAACCAGGGGGCATACAGACAGCGAGGCATTATGGGGGCTGATTGGGGATGGTGTGTGTGGCGATTCCATTACAGATGGAGAAGAGATGCGGAGGATTGAGAAGTTGCAGAGGGAAAGTGTGTCATGCAGAAACATTGAAAGTATTCCTACTGTATCTGGCTTTATATACAGCGAATGATGAGCCGTTTATGACATCGGTTCTGCCTCCAGTTTTTTGGGGAAACGCCCAAAGAAGACAGTGGGGTATGCATACAGTTGATAGTATTGTATTGGATACTTAGCGAGCCTTATAATCATAATCCCCTTTGCTGTTACGTTTGTCGAGTGTTTTATGCTGAAAAGCTGATCTTCACTTTAAATCCCTGAACCGCTTTAATTTTTTTCAAAGTTTCTACCGCAACTAACTTTTGGGTCTCTGTCACTGCAAATGAGCGTCGTGGAGAATTATCAACACAGGCAGCTTTCGGCGTGTCACCTCCTCTCTCAGTATGCAGGCACATGGCTCTGTCTAGACAATGGTAGACAGGCAGCTGCCTCGGAGCGCACAACACACACACACACACACACACACAGACTTAGACTCTCACTGCTAAGGCATTCTGTCCCTTTCATCTTGAGTAGTTGCTTTGGAGGACCAAAACTAATAGATGAATGCGCGCGGCTTATCAATCAAGCCGGAGGGACGGGAAATCAATGAAGGCAGGCAAACATTTAGAGGAATCTGACACATACGTAGAATCTAGGCTGTGTGGATTTCCCTTTCATGGCCACTATGATGTCGAGGGACATGGCTACATGTTGACCTGCATTTCCTTTGACAAGCGTTCACAGCTGCCACTTTACAAACTCGCCCCGCCAACCTCGACCTGATCACCGGCAGGTTGCATTCTTAATGTTATTCTCTTTGCTCGCTCTGTCTCTCCTTATATCCTTCTCTCACCACTCCATGACACTTCCCTCTCTACGTCCTTTTTTAAAACTTTCCCTCCACATTAGCGTCCCCGCCGCTTGAAACAAATGCACAACACATCTCCTATTACGGGAACCAAACATGGCATTTAAGACACAACGACGTAGAGGCGGAGAGCAAACAATAATTAATGAGACAAAACTTTTTGTTGTTTTCTTGACAACAAAGCAGGCAGTTAAAAGGGCAGAGGGAAACATCTGGAAGCGCCTGATGAGCATTTCAAGTGGGACAGGAGATGAGAATGCTTCTGCCTTCCGGGCGTATTAACAAAACAAAAGGGAAACATTGTTTTTTATTAAGGATGAGGCTATTTGAGTTGGGCCCCTTCATTGTGTGGAAGGTTTGCACTGCCAAACAATAAAAGAGAATTTTTGAGCACAATCTGGGACTGCATTTAGCGAAGGGAATGAATCCACAGGCGCAGGCAGTAATCAGATAATTAGGAAAGCAAATTAAAATACACAGATACAGTCTGCTTGCTGGAGGCCATGTTTAAATCCCGCCTTTTCCCCCTCTCTTCCTCAATTTCTTCTTCTTTTTGTGTCCCGCTGCACCTCGAGCTACATCAGTGCAATCAATAGGATGTGCGTTTTCACAGCACATCCTCACTTTGACAGATTAATGGATCTAGGTGGATTTCTTCTTTTTTTTTTTGTGGCCCAGCCAAAATGATGTGGTGTTTCCATTATACATTACACGTCTTCGTCCATCTACTCTGGCCCATGGCGCTATCCGCTCCGTAGTCTGTCAAAGTCACAGGGTCAAAACTCTCAGCTCGTAGCCTTGGGGCGGGACGCAAAGATTTGCAGTCGTGCATACTCTCCCTCCCCGCTCCAAACTTCGTCATGAGATGTCCATCATGGTGATTTGACGGGCTGTTATAGCGTCATTCATTAAATCTGTAGTTTGTTCCTTTCCTGTGGAACACCTTCGCTGGCTTGCAGCAGTACATGTTTATTTATATTTATTTCCTCTTGTTGTGGTGCAGACCAATTACTACATCTTAGTTCAGCGCCTCTTCACTTCACATATCCAACTTATCTTCAGACTATGCCCCGAAACTGTTTTAGTCTTCGGGGTCATAACAGATGACTCAGGCTTCTGTGAAGATCTTTTAGATAAAGTCAAAGGCAAATTAAAAAAAGTTGCAAAACATTTTTATTGCAGACTAAGATACCGGGGTTCTAATTAAAAAAAGCCCCTGAAAACTTGAAAAAGTATTTCTCCATAGCATTATATTTGAAAGAAAATTAAATAGGCAGATTTAAACAAAGCTACTCAGCTTATTTGCTCATTTGATATTGATGATATTTTCACTCAAATATAGCATGACTTCGCCATTACTGAATCGAAGCAGTTACAGACCAAAAGAGAAATACAGCTGTTGTAAAGTAGCATTGTGAGCCTGGACATTTAGAGATGGCCTTGAAGCTTATTTCACTTAATGTAAGGCACTTTTGATAATAGCCTCAAATGCCTATCATTTGCTGAACGTTTCTATGCAATTATGCTTCAGTAATAACTATCACATCCATTGAATGACCTTTGAGTGGCATAACTCACATTTTGAAATGTTGTATTGCCTGCATTTACATTTCTACAGACAAATAAGTGTGTTAATGAATAAGTAATAGGATATAATAACATGGTTTTCACCTTAAGTCTTAGCTAAACAAACTAACAAGCCAAATTTAATCTACTGTTATATATTCCTGAGCTAACAAAAGACCTTAATACAAAGTACCTTTTATAGTTTTAACAAGCATTTAAAGAGATAAAACATCCTTGGTGTATTACTCCTTTAGCAGAACTGACCACTGTTAGCTTGCTAGCTAATATATAACACTATAATGTCAGCATTAGCATATAAGCCAGCAGACATTAGCTAGCCATTAGATATTTTGTTAAATCCCATGTCATGCTTTTCTGGTTATTACCCGTCCCGTTGTGTGTTATGAAGGTTTTTATGCATGTAAACGGTCTGCAGAGTCACAAACCCTCAAAGTACACCCTGTAGCGAGTAAAACTCTAACACAGAAAAAGACCTGTCTATGCTGCCCCAGAACGCCTCGTTGGAGATTTTTCTTTTTCCATTGTTTACTTCTTGGGTATAGTGACGTAACGTCCGCGGAGCCATTACGTTTGGACCAATCAGCAGACTTCCTCACACACACACACTCGGCGGGACGTTGCGAGGCTCGCTGCTGCTAGGAGTGGACAGTGTGAGCTGGCTCACTGGTGTGGGGTCGGCGAGACAGCGAGACACCGCGGAACCCAGCCTGAGCACACACACAAACACCCAGCCAGGCTGTGTGTGTGTGTGTTTCGGGCTAGGTGTCGCTGTGTCTCGCTGTCTCGCAGACGGCCACTGGGCTCACAGGGAGGGGGGGGCAGGAGCTCCAACAAGCCGTTTAGGACAGAGAGTGAATACACATACTATACAGAGATGCTGTATGAGAAACCAATGTGAGTTTGGAACATTGCACAGTATAAATCTATTTTAGTATACCTCAACAATGGAATTATGATCAGTAGAAATGGCCATGACATGGGACCTGTAATTCTCTTTAAGGTGGCCTGTGATGTCTTTCAAATTACTGAGTACTTCCCCTGAATATGCTCCACATCTGACTTAAGGTTTATGAGACCAGATTAATTGCATTAAGTTGTAACCATGATATTGTGTCTTTGTGTTTACCTCTTTATTTTTGTATTTACAGGCTGCCATGTTTGCCATCGACCTGCTGTTTGAAAAGAGCTATGAAAGGAAACCTATTTTTGTAAGTTTGTGATATTGTATCAATGTCTGTGCCTAGGTTAGAGGGTTGGTTGTTAGTCTGCTTGTTTGCACATACAAATCTTTTTTATAAATATTATATTTAAAATATTCTATATTCTCTTAATTTCAATTGATCACCATTTGACCAAGTGTTTAAAACACATTGGCGCTTTTACCAAGGTTGAACTGTGGGTATTATTTTATTCTTTCTTTCCTGTCCCTCTCATCACACAGATCTCAGGGACCATCGTGGACCGGAGTGGACGAACTCTTTCCGGTCAGACAGGAGAAGCCTTCGTAGTGAGTTTGTCCCACGTTAACCCTCTCTGGTGAGTTAACACACAACTACACACACTATATATTAAAACAACGACTTCCTCCCCTCCCCCTCTATGCTGCAGTGTGAGTCTGACCTCTAGTCTCCCCTTGGTTCTGTCTCTTTGTTGCAGCATTGGTCTGAACTGTGCCTTGGGGGCCACAGAGATGAGGCCCTTCATTGAAGCCATCGGGAAAAGCACCTCAGCTTTTATCATCTGTTATCCCAATGCAGGTAACCCTCACTCTTCTGAACAACAGCGCGTCTTCAGCACAGTGCGGGCATGGACTTAATAGTTCACATTTTACTAAATTATTTCTATATTTTGTATATAAACTCTTAAAAAAAAGTTTGGAAACGTTATTTCGGTCGATTATTCCTCCCCTTTAATAATACCAATTGGTATTGTATTTTTTATCGTTGGAAAGCCTGATTAGTCACCTTTACAACGAGGTACAACTTGTAAGGATTGTGCATTCGTGGAATGAGCAACACAGCTAAACGTGTGGGTAGCGGCCCAAAAAGCAATATTCTTCTGTTGGTATTCACTCTCGTTTTGAGTTGCTTTTTGGATTGGATGACGTTCCCCCACATTCTTAGGTTCCACTGTCGTGCTGTCGACACCAGCTTCAACTTCAGGAAAGTCGAGGGGGGGCTAGTGGAGTACTTCGTGACTAGGGCTGCACGATTTTGGGAAAAAATCGAATTGCGATCTTTCTGACAAATATTGCGATTCGAATTGCGATATTTGTTTTTAAGCGACCCAACGTAAGTTTATTGTAAAATGCGGCCATAAGCGTGGGAGGCGGGGACTCATTCATTCCTATGAGAGTTGCTCATTAGCGCATGATGATAAAATGGCCCAACTTTCGAGAGAGCGAAACGTCACAGATTACCCAGCATGCCTAAGAAGTACCCGTATGTGCGCTCATAGCTCATGCGCAACTTTAACCATGCCCCCAAAATGCTCGTTCACATCAAGCACGTCATTTTGCACACGTAACAGCACCGCACGTTCATGACAGCATGGCACTGGATTGTTATATGATGGAGTTTGATATTAACGAGGCGGCCGCGGCAGTTAGCAGCTAGCGGCTAGCTAGTAATTATGCTAATGTAGACATCAATCGTTAAACTGCCGCGGCCGCCTCGTTAATATCAAACTCCATCATATAACAATCCANAAACACATGCACCAGGCCAACCATGTAACCGACTAGCTTTAACTCCAACAAAACCAAACTGTATGTAGATTATCTGAATCCAATGCGAAAGGACAACTAGGGGCGGGATTGAGATAAGGGTCAACATGAATAACCAAGACATCCTCACTCCCAGGTCGGCCTATGTTGACGTTGACGATCTCAAGTCGTCTACAACATACGTTTAGGGAGCTATATAGAAGCCTATCGACATCCCGGAAAGTTGAAAATGTACGCTAAGGGCAAATCCCGGAAAGTTGAAAACGTACACCAAGGGCAAATCACGGAAAGTTGAAAATTTAAGTCGTCTACAACATACGTTTAGGGAGCTATATAGAAGCCTATGGACATCCCGGAAAGTTGAAAATGTACGCTAGGGGCAAATCCCGGAAAGTTCTCTCGCATCTAATGTTGATGAATTTGCCAAGATCTGTTACTGTCAAAAATAATCTCCATCTGTACGTGTTATTGGTACTTTGCAACAGAGACGCTCCAAATGGTCAGGGGGCTGATGAAGGCTAGAGAAGGCTTATTGGTCCCTGACTATTGGTGTTTGCATATAGCGCTATAAACAATCCAGCCCCTGTCGCTAATACAGCTGCCTAGTGCTCTGTGTTCTTGTGTTACACATACTAAGGCATCTATGCATTAGCCACGGTTTGACAAGTTTATCATAACTTAATAATGGGATGCATTTTCATCAGTTGACATTGGTATTCACCATATTTTAACATGCATGGTATTTCTCTCTTTCTATTACAATCATCCTGAATGGAAAATCACTTGGTAACAGTTTTCATGGGTCAGTCTGAGCGAGACAATTCACTTCTGACCACAAATGTAAACGTTATGGTGGCGCTAAAAAATCACTGAAGTCAGGAGGATAAATCTTCGTAGAACATCAACGACTCATTTTCAATCAGGAGAGATGGTTTTGTTGTAATAATACATGTTTATTGCGCAGATGAGATGTATACCTGCCCCTCTGGAGAAGCAAGTTTTTTTTTCTATTGTGGTTGAATAAACATGATAAGCCCACAATTAGTATTAGTGTCTCGCTGCGGGAAACACACCTTGTCAGCGCTGTCATCTGCCCCCAGTCACGTGACTGGGGGCTCGCTCTCTTTTCTTGATCGCCCTCTCACAGGGGTTCACTTCATTGTAGGATTTCTGCCATGTCTCTACCACTGTAGTTTGTCCATAGGATACTAAATAAATAAGTAATTAGATACCTTACCGTTACTGCGCTCATAAAAAAAGATAAGAATAATGCGTATTGAACTGGTTTCATTAATTTGTGAGTTTATTTAAGGTAATTAGTTAGAAGCCCTATTTATCATATGTCTGCACAGCAGTTACAATGTCAAACTACATTGAATCATCCCATCCTCTAACATAGAACTGGTTTCATTTTAAAAATCAAATCACCGAATGCATAGCCCGCTTTTTCTGTAGACTACACTAACCTGCAGGAGGAATGAATACAACCTCCTACATATGAGCTGTACTATATGCTAATGCTAATTAACTCGCCGCTATTATCTTCATCATGTAACATGCACCAGTTATCTAGCTAATCACAGAACCCAACCATGTAGGTTCACCCTGACACCCCCTCGCTCTTTCTCTCAGACCTTTCTCTGTTTTCTCTCCATCGCGCCAGTGCACCAGTAGGCCGTAAGGGTCAACATGATAACCAAGAAAACGTACGCTAAGGGCAAATCCCGGAAAGTTGAAAACGTACGCTAAGGGCAAATCCCGGAAAGTTGAAAACGTACGCTAAGGGCCGCCCCCTTGCGTTGGAAAAAGCCGACACAGGGGACTGGACAAAACGTCAACATAGGCCGACCTGGGAGTGAGGATGTGTTTGAACAACCTGTACAAGGTAGACTGAGCAACAAATGCAGTATATCTTCAATTGATTAGCTTTACAATAACTGTTTGTATGAGTACATCAGATCCAGAGGCCTTTACATTAACACCTAGAAAATGAGCATACTTGTGATCTTGATCTGATATGTGTTTTGCGTGAAATTACACCTAGCATTTCCTTTTCCAGATACAAATCACATGTTGCTAGACTCAAGTGAGAGCCTGTTAAAATGCTTCCTTGATCAAGAAAGTAGAGCCAAGACAACTGCATCATGTTGTGGGGACACACTGCGTTTGTTGGCAGACATTGAGATCTGATCAGGTTTGACAGAACAAGTTATCTGCATAATGAAGACCTGCATGGGGTCTAAAAGATTCAAGGGTTGGTTGATGCCATTTCTTAATCTTTGTCATGCAAGTGATGGTAAAAGGTCATGACGTGTACAAAGGAGCCCTGGATAGGGACTTGCTCACCTGGAGTCACAAGGGAATGGTGTTAAATAATGAACCAGCTTGTGACAAATGAGTGACTCGAGAATCTTAGCTTTGGAGGAACCACACACGCATACGTCAGCACGATTCATACATGAACAGACATACCTCCTCAACCCTGCTTTTCTCTGTATCTTTATCCTGCTTTTGTCATTGCACACCGGTTGCTTTCAGCTGCATGCGTTCGCCATTTCCCCAAGGGCTTTTACTTTACTCCTCTCAGCACCATACCTCCTCCCTTCCCTGCTTCTCCGCGTCTCAGGAATCAGACACAGGTTTGCCACTGCTGAGGAAGCAACCGTGGTAATCCTCAGGCTCAACTTCAAAAAGAGCCTCTAAAGACTACACTCTCTACGGTTCTGGCAACTCAGCCTGCTGGGGAAGGGGGGTACAAAAAAAAAAGCACACTCCTCTCACCTGCCTGTTTCTCCTCTTCCCAGATACTTCACTCAACTAACTTCTACTTTATCAGCACTAAATGTTCCTCAGCTCAACTCACAACAAATGCTGCTTTCCCCTGCCATTGACAACACACATCTCTGCAAGGCAGGGGAGAGAAATGAGAACTGATGGCAGGTATGAAACTAGTTGGACAGAGGGTGGAAAGGAGGAAAAAGTGGAAGACAATACAGTAAAGAATAGAGCTGCTGCTGTATGGAGGAAATAAAGAGGATACAGAATAGTGTTCCCAGTTTTAGAGTTGTTCTCTGAGGGGAAGCTGAGACACTGTCAGCAGATCTTTACACAGCTCTGCTATGCAGAAGAGATGGAGTAGCTTACAGCTAAAGTGCGATAACCATTCAATTATTTCTGATTACAGCGTTGATGATACCCTCTTTACACTGGTGTTGGTTTACTGCGGGCATAAAAACTTGGGCATTAGGGGGCATCAGTAGTAATGAAATCTACAAAAGTGCTGTGACCGATACATTCACTTGTTGAGTAAATGTGCAAATGTTCAGGTTCAATATAATAGATATCCCCAGTGCTAACTGTCCATGGGCGAAGCCAACTCTGCTTATTAGCTAGGTTATAGGATACAAATAGAAATATGTAGTAAACTGTGCAACTGTATTGTCATGTTAGCGTCTTAGCTAACTATCATGCTAACTGACAGTTATTGTTATGGCTTGCTAGAGTGTTTGGCATTAGCTTGTCCAACCATAGTTTGTTTTGTTATTTAAACAGCCTAATGGTTAAATTATATTTGGTATTTTCTAAACAAATGTTCTATGTTGATATTATATTATATTGATATTATTTTGTTCACAGTAGTCGTTCCGAATATGGCAACAGGATTAAGAACCAAAACGGAAATACACAAGGAAAGACGTTCGAAAATGTAGCCAAAAAAACATTCTTACCAGGAAAATGAGAACAAGTCCAATGGGGCATTGAAGTTAGGCAGGTCAGGAACAAGCAGCTGGTGAAAACTTGTACAATACTTAAAATAAAAAATAAAAAATGTAAAGGCAAAGAAAATGGCTGAAACCCAACGTGGGCTACGTGTCAGAGCACAGGTGCAGAGCAGGTGATTAGTGGTTAACGAGACGCAGGTGCGCGAGTAGAGGTGATGAGCACGTGACCAATAGGGCGACATCTGGTGGACAGGCAGGGTATAACAAAGAAAGGAAAGTTCCAATAGCCAACAGGAGGGAAGACTTTCTGAGTCTAAAGGCAAAAACAACATGTTTTCACTATGTGAAAGTAAACAAGTGCAGCGTTTG